TCATTTACACTTGGGTCTGCATCCCCACGCTTCATTTAGCCTTGAGCTGCACATACATATTGTTGCAGTGAAAGAAAGTAAACAAATCCAGGTGCTTGAGGATTTCTGAGGAGATTATGAGAGGAGATCCAGCAGTACACACTCGGCACAACCCATCGCACACTGGCAAAAGCAGATTTTAGACATGACCTCCATGCAAGTAATTTTCTTGGCTGAAACGAAACGTTAGACTGACACAAATCTTTCCTCTAGTCTGAATGAAATGACAGCCACGCAGAAATGCCGAGCATGTTTCTGTGGACAGGGAACCTATAGAAATTATAACCCAGGCCAGTCATTTCAGACAAAAGGTACAAATCAGTTCCACAGTTGCCTTCTTTCATGTTCTAACTCTTTTTCTATTGACTCTAAACTGTGTCTTTACTTTGCATTCTGTGGAGAGAGCGTGGGTGCTTATAAATGTTTGTGTGTATGTATGAAACAATACCCAAGCCCTGGGTTGACCGGCATTCAGCATCAGATGAGCCCATCTCTGAGAATCCTTTCAGGAGGTAATTAAATGTTTTGAGTCAGTGTTTTGATTCATCTTTTCAAATTGCTAAGGGCAATTAAATTACCCCTCAACAAACCTGACATTGAAGATGAGGGAAAAGAGTGGGGAAACGAGAGCATAAGCAATGGGGCTGCTGGCAAAGGCTGCCAATATTTTCTGCCAGTGATAAGTGCTCTCATCATTCAATAGGTCTTTGTTCCCTACTTTGCTAGCACTAAAATCAAGTACTAACTGGGAATCTGGGAAAACCACATCTATACTCTCACCATCTGCACAAGCCAGAATTATAGATGTTGTCCCCTCTGCTCAACCGATTGGGCCATCCATTACGTTTCTTATAAACACCCTTAGTGAACAATTGAGTGGTACGGAGTCTTTGTTAGCGAGGCCTTTTGTCGTTGTTTGACATTTAATTGAGTAAATGTATTGGAGATGTCAGTTCAAAGAACAAAGTGACATTATAGTATTAAATGTTAACATTGCTATTCAGATACAGTCAGACAGACAGTATATGTCCCAGTACGAGGCAGCAGTGACAAGAATAGATTCTGCTTGCATTGCAATCTGCTGCTACGGTCAACCAGAACATTGTTATTTTTAATAGAGAGTTTGAAAAAACTCAACTGATTCGTAGCAACAAAAAATTTGGCAATCACAGCAAGAATAGAAAACATTTTCATCTAAGCAACAGGGAACTGAAAAATGAAAAATGAAAAATTTAACTCACAGAGAAGCACCAGTGAAATTATTTAGATTATATTAGATTAGATTAGATTAGATTAGATTAGATTAGATTAGATTAGATTAGATTAGATTAGATTAGATTAGATTAGATTAGATTAGATTAGATTAGATTAGATTAGATTAGATTAGATTAGATTAGATTAGATTAGATTAGATTAGATTAGATTAGATTAGATTAGATTAGATTAGATTAGATTAGATTAGATTAGATCAGACATTAGGTAGGTATTTAGTGCTAAGAATATAAAAAAAATATATATATAAAAGCAGAAATACAGCACTTTACTTAACCATTTGACAATAATTACACATTTGCCGCAAGGTTGATGTTTTGTTTTGTTTTTTTCTTTTTTTTTTTCATCATGGTTCTGCTTTGAAAATGCTTTTGAAAATTACTTACTGGGGTTGAAGAGGACGATGAACTTCAGGCAGGCAATTTCCCTGCGGTCCACTTGAAGTGTGTGCAACCTCATGGCCAAATTTTGTCCTTTTTGAACCAGACTGGACAAGGTTGCATCAACTTCATCTAGGATCAATGGCAGCTTGATCTACAAACATAAAGAAGAGGTTGTTCTTTTTTTGCCCCAACGTCAGCTAATATTTAGCCCCACAGATCTGCACACTCACTACCTGGCTGAATGACTGGTAGTAACTGATGGATAGAAAACACAGCTATTACAGATGTTCCTCTTTCATTAAAAAAAATCAATCAACTGCCGCAAAAAAAGTTTTAAAAAATAGATTACTGTTTTCACTGTTTATTACAAATGAATTTGATATCAAGATATGCTTTAATGAAGTACAGTTAAAAGATTGTTGTAAATTTGGACTGTTTTGTAGCGTGTCTTGACCATATGTTATGAATCATTTCTATGTTAATATATATGGCATAGACTATATGGAGCAGTGGCTCTGTGGGTTTGAGCAAGCTCACCAGGTTTGGCAATAAAATAGCCTGTATAAATATAAAAACTAACATGTTCCAATTTAATACAGAACAACCTCAGAAAGAGGCATTTTGGGTTTTTACTTTTGACAGTAGTGATGGAGAAAACCAGTAGAACAGTAAAATGGCAATAGAAGGGTCGTAGTTGGAGCTAAAAACAAAAGGTACCATAGGATAAATCTCTTGGTTCAAATGCCATTCAAAACAGTGACAAAAAATGTATTATAAAACATTGCATTTTGTTTTGAGGGAGTTATCTGAGGGAGTTCTTACCTCCTGGCCGGTTACCAGCAGAATGCTGTCTTCCTTGGCATGCAGCACTTGTCTAAAAATGTGATCCAACACCAGAAGTTCTGACCAGCAGTTATGGAGAAGTTTCATTTGATCTCCAACCTCCAGATAAACAAGAGAAAATTCATAAGAAAACATTTCTCAGATGACTTTCATTACACTTCAGGTATCTTCACATGTTTACTGTTTTATTTTTCAAAATTCACTAACTATGCAATCAAAAGGAGGTTTTCCCAGTGTTCGGTCCTGTATTATTTACTTTATGCATGGTTCCATTAGGTCAGGGGTGTGAAACTCAAATTCACCGTGGGCCTCGTCACTTGTGCATGTTTTCTCTTGATGATGATGATGATTGAAAAAGGAATGTGTAAAAGATGTGTGCAGACCAGGATGTTGTTTGACATTCAACATGTCTGTGTATTCCATACATCTTAACAAATATTATGCTGCGCACTAAACAATAAAGACAGATTGTAGTCAACGCAGGTATCACTTCATATCACATCACGAGCTAAGGACCACGGCTGTCAGGTTGTTCAATTACGACATTATTAGCTTTGAGCTAATCCAGAATTATGTCCTGTCATGTCAAAACTGTCAGAGCCATTATAGAGATAGTGTGTGTTTTTCACACTATCGAAGAACGCACTACCCGACGTAACTTGACTGGACATACACATCAACAAACGTGATACATGTTTTATAAACTTACACAGACAATGTGACTACAAATGAGAGAATGTATTATTGCCCCCGTCACAGTCAACCAGTGTGTTCCTGTGAAAGCTTTGAGGATATATTTCTACAACCTCAGTTGAGTTTACAACGCCTCCTGAAGAGGAAGCAAAGAAGGTCACAGAGACCTCTTACTTCCTAAATCCTTTCCTTTATCACAGCGTTCCCAGAATCCCACTATTACAACATTCACTGTGTATGTACACGTGTACGCCTATGTGTGTGTGTGTGTGTGTGTGTGTGTGTGTGTGTGTGTGAGAGAGAGACATAGATAGAGAGAGAAAGAGCTGCTTTCAGTCATCCACCACAGTAAAGTCAAAGCGTGGAAAATTGCTAAATATATTAGCTGTTCTGTGTTAATCATTTCAAATGTGATGGCTGTGAAATCATAGCCAGCTTTTTGCGATAGCAAATGGCAACCAAAAAAGTATGCGAGACACATGACAGTGAGAATAGAAAGTGGGATAGTTCACAACGTTAAGGTGTTGTAAGGTACGGACTGAAGATCAGATATGTGATTAAAAGCGATTAAAAGGTGGAGCTTAGTACTGGAGAGGAGAGTGGGGAGGAAGGGGGGTCAGAATACCTGTGTGTACCATTGGAAAGGTAGAGTTGGAAAAGTAAGGTTGAAAAAAGGCCAGGTAATAGAGGTGAATACTTTGAGTAATTTGAGTCAATGGACAGAGTACATTCTATCATCTTATATAATATCAGTACATACAATACATAAAATATATAAATACATAAAATATAAAATAAATATATAGATAAATACGTATCAGTATCATGAGAGACAGAGGTGAAGAAGAGGGTGAAGGCAAATTGGAGCTGACATGTTGCAGTACAAGTAGATATTGCTATGAAAAGGCTCAGGGCTGAGGTGAAGGTGGTAATACTAAGGCTGCCAGGATTTGTACCAGATGTGACAAGAATGCACCAGATGACAAATGGCCCGACTCTGAATATACTGTCAGAGAGACAACTTGACAACTTGAAGTGGTTTAAGACAAAGTTAGAGAGGTGAAGTTCAAATGACATGTGATAAAAGTGGAAGCTAGAGATGGAGTTAGCAGCAGCAGGGAAACAATGAGAATAACTTGTGGGTTGATTTCGATTGTTTGATTGTTTGTTTGTTTAATGGTCAGAAGCCCAGATCTAATAGATGCAACATCTTATTTCCCAGGCTAAATATAATTGTTTTCTGACTACATGGAGCTCCCAAACCTTGATGCTGACATATGCAGTTTTGAGCTAACACACATCATTATTTTTTTGCACAATAAAAAATAAAATTGGCAGAATTGTTTTGAACATTTTCATTTATATTTTTAACAAACAAAACCTTACCAGTATAAAAAATACCTTCCAGTTAAGTGTTTGCAATAAGGATTGTTGCTTCTCCCAGAATGCATTGGTTTTAACATAGCATAAGGTCTGCTTCTTTGAATAAAACACTTACAGCTTACAGAGTAGAATTTGTTTGAGAACTAAAATGTCAAAAACTATACCACTGAACGTTAAGTACTGTAACAAGGAAAGTGAAACCAAGACAAAAGAGGACTGTGACGTTTCACTGTGGAGAATATGAAAAATGTTATGACGTGTACGTATAATGTGTTTTGTTTGTGATTTTTTTTGTATAAAGCTAGCTGGATAGTTAGCATAGCCTGTGTTTTATCAGCACTGCTTATAAATAAGCCATTCAGTGTTTCAGCTAATTTTAAAACGATTGTTCCCGGAGCGTTTTATTCTTTTTTTGTCTTTCAAGGTGGTAATTTATTTTTGTTTTTGTTTGTTTTTTGTTTTATACAATATACCAGTTTGGTTACAAATAAATATTATTTTGGTATTTTGTTTAATCAGTACTGAAATGTATAGATGATACACAATTAGATAATAATACATATACAGTATAAAACGTGATATCAGCAGTATAAAAGTATAAAACGTGATATCAGCCAACAATAACTGAGTGTTGTTTTGGAAACGTTTGTTTCAAATCAATTGTACTTAAATGTTATTTAAACAGAAAATGCCTAAAACATCTCATGGCCTTAGGACATAAATCCATACAGCTAAACGTCAAAAGATTATTTACATTTTGTTTAAAATATTTGGCTAGTTTCTGGCAATGTCTCTTCTCTTATATTGAAATATAGTAGATATAGGTAATTATAAATATATTATATCGAATAACATTTAATGTAGTATCAGGGGAAAATGCCCATTTAAAGCGTTAATAAACATTATAAATAGAATCTGGTATGATAATATGGTCTATTATCTTCTTAACTCGCTTTTAAAATGTTTAGCGGAATATATAGGCGTAGACGTAAGTAATGAAATAATATAAACAGCAAAGAAGGGTAGAAAAAACCCCAGAAAAACAGCAGCATGCACTTTAATTTCCTATTTAATAGAAGTGTATTACTTTATTATCCCCTCTTTACTCTGTTAGTGCTGCTGAACATGACAAAATTCACTATTCGTCGGCTTTCAATTCATTTGAGATCATTTATTTTTAAGAATGACTGAATAGATTCATTAATGAATGAAAAAAGGAATTGCGTGAGACTGGCGAGGACAGACGGACGGAGCTCATCTGCCGCTGCGGTATTTCCATTACTCTTTCCTTCAGACCCAGACAGAAGCTTGCATTTAATAAAAGTTAAAGCTTAGGACGATTCAATCGGTAGACTCAATTTTTTAGATGACCTGTATTGAGTAAACACCAGGCATTTTACCTTTTCTGTCACAGGCGGAGAGGCTACATCCGTGCTACATTATCCGACCAGAAGAAGGAAAAAATAAAAATGAAAATAGTAATGATTGGTATACCTATATTATTATTTGAATACAATTTTAATTATTTTAAATTTGATGACAAATGCAAGGGCGGGGCTAAAAATCTTTTTAATTCTAAATTTTAAATGATTTTGTGTGTGTGGGTTTACGATAGATTTTATAGGTCATCTAGGCCAGGGGTGTCAAAGATACGACCCCTGGGACAAAAGCGGCCTGCTTGGTGAGTTTTGGAAATAAAATAAAAAAACACAAACACTTCGTGTTCAGAAAATATTTTTAAATTATATTTCACTAAATATGAAAATGTATCGGATTATTTTGTTACTTTTTTGCGTGAAAACAAAGGGAAAAACAATATTATTGTTACTGACAGGTAACTTGACATAAGTTTGACAGCCCTGATCTAGGTTGACTAAGACTAATAGTCAACCTAAAAACAAACACGACAGCAGAAACCACAGAGTTCCACTGCAGCCACGGTGTACTCACTCCACGTACCACTGATTAACATAATATCAAGTTATTAGATGGTACTCACTTTAAGCTCTTTGAAGAAGGCGCAGCTCCGGGCCCACTCCACTATGGAGAAGAGAGTCTGGTCTGCCATTCGACACATCTGGCTAAATGTGCTGCTCTTGTCATGTCGGCCACGGCTGCAGCCCTGCTCTTGTTGGAGGTGAGCAATGATCTTATTCTGCACCATCAGTTCGTCCTGGTCGCAGCCAAGCAGCTCCAGTACAAGTGGTGGCAGACCGGGCAGCTGCGGTGAGGCAGTGGCAGGGTAAACGTCTGGGTACGAGTATCCTATAAGAGACTCGGGTGAGCTCGTGTGATCAGGGCACTCGGCTTTGATGGCTCTGCTGGCGAAGGCCGTGGGCTGGTACTGAGATGAGAGGGCCAAGTGGGGCTGCATGGTCATCCCTACAGCAGTGGCTCCGCAGAGGTTGGCCTCGTAGTCTGAGATTGGAATGGGAGGCGGCGCACCTTTAGAGATCGTGGGGAGGGAGTGAATGGTGTTGATTAAACCGTAGTCGACCTGCAGCGGGGAAACCGACTGCGGTGGAACGCCGTTCTCCAGCTTGAAGCCATTTGATCGTATTAGCGCTTTCTTCTGCTGCTTCAAGGCCCTGTCTCGCTTGTACATGGGGCCAAATTTGTTTCTCCCTCCACGCATGCGATCCGCTCGCACCGCTGACACAACGGCAGAAAAAGGGAAATATAGGCCTTCGTGAAAACATGGTTTTGGTAACTTTTGCTTACAAAC